AAGGTTTAGAGTAATGGTAACAAATTGGTCCTTTTTTTTAAAATTATTTTGAAGACCGGGTTGGATTTAGGCTTTAAAATTTTTAATATAATAAAAATCTTAAAGAAAGAACCTATTTTCTTTTTTTTCTTTTTCCTTCCAACTTTTGACCGGTTTGTGGAAATGTGTTTTAAATTAGAAAAGTCCCCCTTGTTAACTTTCGAGAAATAAAAATCCTGCACATTTTTTTTTGAGTAAAAAATTTATTAAACCCCCTGTTTTTAGATCCTTACTTCCACCGCCCGAGTCAATCTCGGTAAAAAAACAATATATAATTTACCGACCTTTTCTTATTATTTTGAAACCGTTTTTAGAAAAGAAAAATCAAACTATTGAAAATTTTTATATAATGATTTCCCCCCTAATATTATTAATAACACTTTTTGACCGAAAATCGGATTTTTTTTTTTACACATTAATATTTGAAAGTCTATTGTTTTTTTCCCTTATTGGTTTGGAGAAAAATAAGTTTTTTTAAGTTTTTTGGGAAAAAATCCTCTGAATTGAAAAAAAAAAAAAAATGAAACAACTATTCTTTTTTTTTCCCCCTGTTTTTCTTAAAGATTTAGCGAGTTTATCATGGTAAAAAAATTTTTTTTGTTATATATATTGTTTTCATTTTATACCGTTAGAATTTGGAAAGCCCCAAAAAAATTTAGTATGTAAATTCAATAATCCTAAGACCCATTATTTAAGGTTCATTTTTTTGAACCCGTTTTTTCAAGAATTTGGAAAATTAAATGTCCCTTGTTGGATTAGGAAAAAATTTAGTTTTTCCCGCAATTTTTGAGTATAATAAAAACCAAAAAAAACCCCACTTTAAAATTATTCTGCCAAACCTGGAAAGGTTAACCCACCCTCGGTAAAAACCCTCCCCCAATAATCTTATCTAGTTTAAAAACCGGTTTGGATCCAACCACTGGAAAAAAAACCTTTTTAAATATGTTTAATTTTATAATTAATTTATAACAAATAGTTGCTTTCCTATTGTGCCCACTGTCCCGCTTTTTTGCCCCCCTCCGGCGTTTTTACAAGATTTATAGCTAATTCATTTTTTTCCCGTAAATCTTTCCTTCAGGAGTCTTCCCCTTCAATATTTGCTTTACATTTTCTTTTTCTTATTTTTCCTTTAATTTTTTTTTTTTTTGATTAACTCCTATAATTAACTTTTTTTTCTTTTTAAAATTATTAATAATAATTTCTCTTGTTCCCCCCCCCTTCCCTGTCCCTCCGCCCTTTGGTATTTCCCCCCAAACTACGTACGAGGCCCGCCTTTTTTTTTGGCTACAGGGCCAAAGACATTTTTTTTTGGTGTTGGTTTACTTAAAAGTTTGGGTTCCCATTTTGTGGACGCCCAACCTCTTTCCTTTTTTCCCCTGAAAGTATACTCCGAAACGAGTGTTTTTTTTAACAAAACTTAATTCCTAATTTGAACAGATTTATGTAAAACTTGGGTTTTCAAAAAAATTATTTTGTTTGGTAAATAATAATCCCCCTTGTTGGAAAATAATTCCAATTTGTAAATGAAAATTTTTTTGTTTTTTCCTTTTTTTTCCTATTTTTTTCCCTTTTTTCATCTGAAATAAAATTTGGGCCTTTTAACATCTAAGATTTTGGGAAAAAAAATTTTTGTCAATTTTTAATCATGATGCATCCTGAAATATTTCTTGTGCAAATTAATAAAAATTATTTTATTTTATGTGGAGAAGTATGTGAATGTAATGGCTATATAGTTTTAATTGTTTATGACCTTTTTTTTTTTGGAACATGGATTGGACGTTGGAAAATGCCAATATGTGGTGTATTGCATTTTCCTTGATTTTGGGGTTTGTTTTGGAATTGCAATATTTGGTGTATGCATGATTGCCATATCAACTTGGTTGTTAATTGCATTCAATTGCCCATATTGGTTGTAATGCTTCCCCTTCCCCCACTTCCCCCCTTGTTTTGGTGTTTTTTTGATATATATTTGATGGCATGCCCAAAATGTTCTGGTTTTAAGTTGTGTGTAACTCATATTTGTTTTAAAATTATGTGTAAAATTTTTGATTCCCCTGGTTTTAAGTTGGGAGCCATAGTATTGGGGTTTTTGATATCGAGGTAAGTTTTTTATTTGTTATTGGAATTGTTTTTAGCCTTCCCAACCCCTTACAATGTGGTTTGTGCTGTTGAATGCCCTATATTTCCTATTTAAAAATGCAAAATGCTTGATATTATACGGGGAAAAGCAGATGAAAGATGTCGTCCCCTTTGAAGGCCAATAACCCAATGGAAAGAAAGGATCGAAGAATAAGTTTTAAGAAGGATTTCACGTTATACTTTTAGGAAGGAGTTTTTTAAAAAAATTTATAAGTTGGGAAATTTGAGGTTTAAAATATGTGGAATAATCAACCAAAACTGTGAATTTATTTTTAAGTGTGAGAATTACAATTTAAACGGGATGTTTAACCACCGTAAAAATGTAATAATAATTGAATATCCCAAGTGAAGAATTAAATTGGGGAAATTGTTCACCAAACAAAAAGTTAGCCTTCGCCCCCGTTGAAAAAACTCCGCTCCCCTTTCAGTTAACCAAAACAAAACTCCCCCATTTTTTAACTAACCAGTTTTTTTTTTGGCAATTCTTTATTTTCTGCTTTAATTGGACACTCAATTTACAATAAACTAAATTCGAACGATAATTTGTTGAAGGAAAATTAGTTAAATTATAAGAGGGTATTTTGGTCCATTTTTTTTTTAACACACTGGCAAAAATCATTGCCAAATTTTCCAAATTCCAAACCCTAAAATTAAAATATAAAAAATAAAATTTATTTTAATTTTATATACAAGTTTAAAACTAAAAATATATTTATTATCAAATTTATAACTCTTAGGCATTTCTTTGTAACTCGTGATCCGTTAGGACATTTTGGAGAAGATAAGATTGAAAACATGAGATGTACTTAAGTTTTCTGATCACTGATCACGGCTGTTCTCTAATTTGTAAGAAATGTTGCAAAGAAATAAAAATAACAGTATGAGGAAAAAAAATTTACTGAAACTGTAAAGACAGAGCTTGGGTGGATGAGGAGTCCCATCAGATTATTCCATTCAATAACTCTTAAATGATGCCGAAAAGAGTGTTTGATGAGAGAAAAATTCTAGAAAACAAGTAATCTTTGCTACAAATTTTGTCTCTGCAACAGTGGATGTGACACGAACGATGCACTTCATGGTTTTCCATTCTTCAAAGTTGTGATTAGCAAGTGACCCTTCTATTCTGAAAGTGTATTATACAGAACCATAATAATTCAGAGTTCAAACAATTTCTGTTACAGATAAAGATACTACTTTTGTTATTTCTTCTCAGAGTTCTTGTATTATTACTTGTCCACTTTCTTTTCTCTGTTTTCTCATTCCCCATTAAATGTTTTAACTTATCTATTACTCTCTTATTCTACAGAGTTTCATGTATACTACTGAACATGGGTGGATGGATCAGAAAAAATATGATAAATATTATAAGTGAATTATAAATAGTAAATTGTTGTGGTTTTTGTTTCTGACATTGTGAAGCTTATTTGACAGCATTAGGGTATTGGGTTAAGCCCCCACCATGGCCACCACCACCATCACCATTATGTTCACACTGCTATGCCATTGGCTTGGTGCAACTCATCTGCCTCTGCGATTCGCAAATATGATGCTATACATTATTTAATATACTCATTATAAACAATACCCTTTTTCTTTTATTTTTTCTTTAAAAGGAGCATGACAAGAAACATGATTGGGGACACTGTATTATAAAATGGTTCTGTCCTTTTCTTACTTTGTCTTTATTTTAATACTTTCTTCTCACATCATATATTTCCAAAGTCCTGCAACTGTACTATCATTATTGCCCTATTTACTTCCCATTTTTCTTCGTATAAATACTCATTCTCTTTCCTCCTTTGTCCCAAATAAATATATCTCAAAACTCAACCTCCTCTGTTTTAGTTTCTCTTTTCCCCTGCTTTTACTCTGTTTCCGCTGGAACGTATTTGTATCTGCCTCTCGCCTAAGTTAGATTCGGTATTGGAGAAATGTATGCTGAAACCGGTCTTCTCTTCCCATATTTGCACAACCTCTCTCAAGAGCTTCACCAGCTTGAGGAGTACTGCAAAACCCATAAGTACAATGCTTCAATGGTATCTCCTCTTGGTCTCTTCTTGGCTCTGCTCATTCCCCTGTCACTGCTCTGTTTTTCTGCATTTTGTTTGATTTTTTTTCTTCTTTTTTCTCTTATGCAATAAATTTCGAAACTTTCTTTTACCTGATACTTCTTCCTTATTCCGAATTGTCCCTGTTCATTCTTTGGAGTAAATGGGGTGTCAGAAAATGGGTCACTTTTTATTAGAGAATTAAACTCGATTTAAGTTGGTGTCTAAATTTTCACGTGAATGTTTACTTCTCACATTTTAGATTTTTTTCGATGTTTCTTCCTCTTTTAGTATATGATTTGTGGTTCCTTCCTTGATGGGTAATATCAAGCTGAAGAAGGAAAGCTGATAACCAAAAATCTTCTAACTTAATATATGCTTATTCATTTTTGTTTTTCTCCTTCTCTTCTTTCTGAACGTTTTCTCTTATTAATACCACAAGTGGAAACAACTGTAGTTGGATTCATACGCTGGATCTGAAAAAGCATGAGAAAAGGAGAGAAATAAAATGGGTATAAAAGGGAAGTATTTTCTCTGTTATAGTTCCGTCTTGTATAATCTTTCTTCCTACTGTTACAAGTTTGTAGTGTGTGAACTCTCAGTGGAGTTTGTCCTTTTGCGCCGCACTGAGGAGGGAGATTAAAGAAAAAAAAAGGACTTTTATTCGCTTTACTCCTTTATACTAAGGTAAAAGGGTAAAGGAACGGAGTTTGTTAATGCTCAACTTAATCATTTCCTCATGGTATTTGTCGAGCACTACATGTAGTTCTAGAAAGGTTATTTCTATTTCTGCTCCTGTTACATTTAAATAAATGGTAAAATTAGGTTGCTTTCATGTGGTGTGGTTTGCTGTTTTGGCACTAAAATTTCAAAAAGTTCGGGTGATAGTGCCCTGTAATCAGAGAAGGAGCACCTTGACTAATCCACCTTCTGGTTTTGTCAAATGAAGGTTGTCCACTACGGTATAAGGGTTTATAATGATATTGCTTGCAGCATAACCTTAAATAATTGACATAGATAGCTGCTCTGATATTTTGATGTGTGAATTTATATCTGTTGTTCAATTATTTGCTTTTCACTGGCTTCCTTTATGTATACTGATTTCAATAGTTCATGGGAAGAAAAATAGTGATCCATAGTCTCTAGCTGAGTTATAATCAAATGTATTCTGGATAGTTTGTGGTTCTAGTTTCACTGTTTCAGCTGTTAAAAGCTGGATTTTCTTTTAAAGCCAGGTTTTGGGTTGGTGCATGGCTTGGAATTTGAAACCATCTATTGAATTCCAATTTGAAAACCTGAATCTTAGCAGTCATTCTTTTTGTTTGTGAAGGTTCTGCTGAATATGTATTGGCAGATAATGTTTACAGCAAGGCTTCTGCTTTGCAGTAGGAATATGGTGTTTGCTACTGTGTGTGGAGTTTTATTTGTGTTGAAATTAGAAGTAGAAGCGTAAGAAAATCCTTGCCTTTTTATTCCTTTACCGTTTAACCTACAATATGTACTATTCTGATATAAGTACTTGAATCAATTTCCTAAACTGGAGAATCTTACATGTTTCTTAGACTGTGCTTGAAACTCTTTGAAACCCTTGCCCAACTCTCTTACTGACATATAGCTTTTTCTGTCACCTCACTGTCTCAGATTGATTCTCTCTCTTTTTTGCTGTTTCGCTCTTTCTAAAAAAGTTGAGGATAATCCCATCCATAAATCATGTTTTGGTTGGATGACCATGATATGCAATTGGAATCTTTTTCCATTCTAAGAAATTTATAATGTGGTCAGTTGCTTTAAGAATCACTTTACTTGATGGAATCATGCAAATATCATCATAAAACTTTTGGCATCATTGATATGTCAGGAAATCATCTTTGGGCAACTTCTCGGCATTAGCAAGTTAAATATGATAACCAGTTGGAAACAAGCATCACATGCTCACAACAATTGACTACTGAATACAGATTATGACTAAACATTGAATGTTTTGATGACACATCCTTTTGAGGGTGCAGGGTATGGGAGAGGGAAAGTGTAAATCATTGTAACCCATACCGTGTCTAGAATTGACATCTTATGATGTGTCCTTTCCTTTTTTTTCTTTTGTTGCATTACAGTTATTGCTTTTGGTTCAATACTATTATTTCATATTTGTCTGTAATAGTTAAACAGCTTGTGCTATGCTTTTTTGTTCTAAAGCTGTATTCTGCTTTCACTTGCTAGTTATTGCATTCTGGTTATACGTTCTTTATTGAGTTTTGCAAGTAAAGTTAATTTCATTTCTATAGCTGTTTTCTGTCTGTTAAATAGTTCTTAATTTAGTTCCCCATGTCTTTAATGCAGGATGACTATGTTCAGTGTTCTGCCATGTCAGAGTATGATTTGGCAGCAGAGGGAGATCTGTTCAAAGCTCCTGAACCTATTATTGAAGAGCCAATCATGGACCTGGATCCCATGACAGCTGCTATCTCAATGATATCTTGTGGGGAAGATGTCTCCTCTCAGGGACTAAAATCCACTGATATTGATATTCTTCAAAATGATCAATTTCTGAGTGAGGTATTCTATGAATGCAAGAAGGATCTGTTAGAAAAGGCAGCAATAGAGTCACCACTCTCTGAGATTCTGGAAATCAAGGTTCCTCTTCTGAACATTGATGAAAACTCAATTCAAGAAAACAAGCCACTTTCTGACATGCAGTTAGGAAAGAGTGTCAGTTCAGGAAGTTTAAGCTCAATGGATTGGATTCGTGGAGCTGCAATGAAGCCTGCTTTCATTGATATCCCTGCAATGGATTTCAATGCAGTTTATGGCATGCGAAGATCATTTAGTGAAGGAGATATAAAGGTTTAACTTAACCTCCTTTGTGTATACATTTTTTTATTTTTTATAAATTTAATTAAATCACCATCAAATTTAGCAGTGCTTAAAGATAGCAGCTCAGGGAGGTGTGATATCCATGCCTTCTTTGTCTTGAATCAGAAGCGTTGATGTTTTCAGAATTCTACTTCTTTTCTTGACGTGTTTAGAGTAATAGCTTTTTCCAGCTCAATACAGAGAGCCTTAACTTCCTTTTGAACTCTATTAAAAAGAAAATTCCACCTCTACTGAGTATCAACTCATCCTCTGTTAACTCTAAAGATTGTAGTATGGAAATCAAAAAGAAGGGACTGATGATGACATGATCTCAATCTGATTGATTTAGTTAGAAATGACAAATTTTGACAACATATTCGTACATGCCTAATATATTTTAGAGGTTGGTTTTTGCTGGAATCAATCAGATGTCTAAAAAATTCATAATCTGCTTCTGTGATCAGAAATTAAAAGGCTGTTACAGAAATACACCAAATTTCTTGTGGTTCCTTTTGCCATGTATATCATGTTATCCATATGATTAACTTGCTGCTCCCTTGATGAACCTGCAGTGTAATTAAATATCTGTCACTTAATTTTCCTTCACCCATGTCTTTCCAAATACCTAAAATGAGTTACTGTATCCAGCAAATTATGCTTCCTTGTGCAGAATGACAAACAATTTCTGTTTGAAATTCATTTATTCCTCTTGTTTGCATGAGTAAACTCACCAAGATCTAGTGATTTACTCAACTATTGTGACAGACTCTCGGTAACGGAAACATGAACATTGTCCAATCACCCCTTGAGAGGCCCTTTCTCATCAGCAACTGCACCAGTGAGGAACGCTTCCAAAAGCTCTCCAGGTACAGGAATAAGAGGACAAAGAGGAACTTTGGGAGGAAAATCAAGGTAATTGTTTCACATGAATACTTCACCATTCATTACCTCAACTGCTGCAGCTTTGAACTGTGTTGTTATTTTTTGCTTAAAAAAGTAGAAGCTATAAGTAGCATGAAAAATCACATCTCAGACATTTTGATAATCCTTCATATGTTATTAAGTTGTTAAGTATGCCGTGGTTTTCTATGGCAACCAATTTTTATTGATGTTATCTGTAAATTGATCTTATTTCTAGTCGATCTATGTTTTGAGTAAAAACAGATTGGCATGAGAGCTGATGATATAGTTGTTTTCTTCAGTATGCATGCAGGAAGGCTCTTGCTGACAGTCAACCAAGAATCCGTGGAAGATTTGCAAGAAGTGAAGAATGTGAGAGCAAGAGGGAATGAATGACTTAATAACTGATATAGTAGTAGGAAGAAGGTAGAGTGAAGTAGCTATATCTGATCAAACTGAGCAGTAGTAATTATGTGATTAGAGCCTATGTGGAGTCTCTGTATGTTTGAGCAGATATTTGCAGAATAAACCAGACCCCAAACTTCTTAGGGTAGTTCATCTCTTTATCTATTGTATCATCGTCTCTATAGACGGGAATTACCTTCCACATATGTAAATAGGTTTGTTCAATAATGGAAAGATAAAGAAAATATCTTGTACCATGTTCATATATAGAGGTGGTAACATTAATAATTTCCTTCTCTAAAATTTTCATTTTTGACCATTGTTCATCAATCACTGCTGTCAACTGAATGTCATGTATGATTTACAACATGTGTAGAGAAATTTACTTAAAAAAAATTATAAAAGAAAATTCTTTCAAAAATTATAACTAAACTAGATGATGATGATGATGAAAAAGTTGGAGGATTGCAAGTAGCAGAGTGCCCAGTGGTGGGAATCAGAGCATCTTTCTGCTCTGCTGGGAATAAATGCATTCTTTTTCATTCAATCCTTATTTGGCAAGTGCTTTCCAAGGAGAAAACAAGCATTGTAATTATTTTTTATACTCTGTTTTGTTAGATTAAAACATATACTACTAAAATTACTCACAAATATCTGTTTAATAGAATATCATTCACATATTTTCACGATTTTCTTGAATCAAAACATAATAATATTGTAGTTATCTTTATCATATTAATTTATCTCTTTTGAGTTATTGTGTAACCATCAATATACCCTTGATAATAAGGTTTCCCAAATTTTAAGAATAACACCCATTTTCTTTAGAATATTTATTGGTTTTGTTAACACCCATTTTCTTTAGAATATTTAATTTTAAGAATAACACCCATTTTCTTTAGAATATTTATTGGTTTTGTTAGAAGTTTTACGTCGACTAAAGATAAGGTCAAATTATAATATATAAGTAAGGTGTAAACTTCACCTTACAAACCGATTTTGTGGGATTGAGTTAGACTTAAACTTACTTTCTAATAGATTTTCTCTTAATAAAATGAAAAAAAAAAAAAATATCAACTTTAATATGTATGAACTAATTAAAATAAAATGGAGAAGATATTGATATTTAACTTATCAAATATAATTGATTTCCTCCTCCAATTTAGGGTATCGATGAGATTATTATTTCATTAATCATGATGTTTAAGTAATAAAATGGTAATTTTTTTATTTTATTTCATTAAATTCCTATTTATCACATCTTACTTTATTCTATTAATTATTAGATAGTAGTGACATTAGATATAAGATGCTATGAACATCATGCTATCTATATGCTACAATGACAAAACATCAAAGATCTGTTCGTGTAGGTATCAAATTGCAAATTCATTTCGAAATATGTGAGATAGAGCATGAACTTTTTGGGACAAAACAATATCGTTTTTGAAAATTTAAAAGATAAATGTAATGTTTGTGTGACACGTGAAAAGTGAATGAGCTTTGCATATTGTGGGCTAAAAGCAAGATAGAGCATGAATGATGTGGACAGGTGGATCATTGCATATACATGTTTATGCTGTGTCACTGTCACTTGTATTTTCTTCTTCTTCTTTTATGAAAATAATAGACTTCAATTGTATTACTCAATATTAGGACAAGAATAGAGGCCATTCAAATCAACTTGGGAAATAGTCTATAATTTGAGTAGAAATAGTGTGAAAAAGGAAGATCTAGTGCAAAAGTGATGGTCATGTTGGTGCCTAGATTTTAGTACAAGATTTTACAGGTTTTGCTGTTATCGACACTCTTTTCTTCATCTTTAGTGTTGTCTTGTCTAAAGTGTTATAATTGGTAAACACGAAAATTCAAACAAGAAAGATTGTGTCTAATCCCTTCTTTGGAGTAGAAAGTAGGTGTTTGTATTAAGAGAAGGGAAGTAATTTACAAGTAAAGTTTCTGATTTTAAGATAAAGTTTGGTGATCACTACCTATTTTGTATCACTTTTAATTTATGGAAGGAATTACTTGACGTCAAGTGAATGAGAGATAACATTTTTATATCATTTTATACTCTTTAATATTTATTATGCATAGTAAAA